AGTTTAAATTTAAGTTTAAGTTTAGTTAGTAGTTGTATAGTATATATATATATATATATATATATATATATATATGTGTGTGTCGTGTGTGAGTGTAGTGTATTACGTAATTTTACTTTCCATAGCCTTTCACTTTAAGATGATAAAATTCACAGTAAAATTTAAATTTTAAATCTTGCAAAAACAGAATTTAAAAATCAGGTCTGCAGTCAGCAGATTAGTGGTCCACTAACTTAATGACAAGGTTCGTAACTCTGAACTAAGGACAGCCAAAAACCAAACCGAAAATTAATATTGATAATAACAGTGACTAACCTGGGATTAGGTATAGAAAATGCTACATCAAACAACAAAGACAAGGGAAGATCATCACCAAGTTGTCTAAGGCTTGAATGACAAGACGATGCAGACATCAGCGTTAATATTTCTGTAATAATCGGTTCCGTTTCATTGTATGGTCGACCTGCTATAGTTTGTAACTTCAACTGCAATATTTCCTTAAGATCAGTGGTCATGTCAGTTACAGTCACTGTCTCTACGCTACCTGGCATATAAATAATGGAGTGAAATAATAAATATTGTTTTAAAACGCGTTATGATATATACCGGTTGCCTATCAGTATCAGCTAACTGACTATGTTAAAATAATTCGCAAGGCCTTAGCAGCAACAACGATAAGAGTACCTCCTTATTCACAGCAACGAGCAACTTACATGCAACATAACAAGTTACACGGTATACCAAAACTGCATATTACTAACGTTCAAACGCAGCTTCTGCTTCCCGTAAAAAGCCGATAACCGAATTCCTCAATATCAACAATACTAATAGACAAAAAATCGAGTTAACTTGTAAGCACATGAGAAAGTAAGAAATAAAGTAACAATAAATCTTGTGAGACTAGTAACAATTTTAAAATTATCATAATTTAATATTACAATAATGTACATTAAAGTTTCATTTTCTTCCAGTTCGGGTTTTATCTTGATGAAACATTATAACTATAATATATAATATTAAAGTGGACAGTTATTGTAATTTACGATCATCTTATGCAAGCCTATAAGTTTTATAATAACATAAAAAAAAGCATTGTACAAAGATTTAATAGAGAAATCTAACGAATTAAGTTTTTATTACTCTAATCCGAGCGTAACTTAGTGAATAGTTGATGGACTGGGAATCCAAGAACAAGAAGTCCAGGTTCTCGTCTCTTTGACGTAAAACGTCACTCCCACTTTAGGACTGTGGGTGCACTAAGACAAGCGACGATCAAATCTCACTATTCGATAAGACGTTAGTAGCGTAAAAGTTGGTGATGAGTGCTGTTGACCAATTGTCTTCTCTTTGTTCTATCACTTTAAAAATTGTATATATTGTTGTAAGCGTTGGTTGTTTCTAGTTAAGTACAAAGCTACACAGTGAGCTATTATACTGTACCAACTACGGGTATCGAAACCCGGTTTTTAGCGTTATAAGTATACAGATTTATCGCTGTGCCACTGAGAGGCTGTTTAAGCTATATCTTTAATGTTGCAATTTGTTTGTTAGATGGAGTTATGAATCGTTGCTGATGTAATGATGCTGATACTTGACAAAAAATCTAAAACAAAGCCTAGTTATTAAATACGAGTGAGCCAGTCAACTAGAATATAGTGGTGAATAGTGAATTAGTTAATTGTTTCAAAACAGAAAGTGTGTTTTCGTTAAGTATTTGGATCTGTGTTTGTTATGGCACTTATTGGGTTATTATGTATAAGTAAGTTGATTTTACATTAGTTTTAGTATTGTTACGTCTCCGTTCGTTAATTAACTTTCCGTAACTTCGTTCCGAA